CTTCCACCTTTTCCTAAAATCCCAACTTTATCATCAGGCATGATTCTTCCTTAAAGCACTTTAACTCATTCAGCGTGCAATGTTCTTTGCTCAGTGCTCATACCACCTCTACAGGACGTACAGTACCCTAGGGGGCAACAACGAAACAACCATTAAAACAGGAATGGTTTTACAGGTGGAGGCCACTGACATTTTCCCCTCCTTATCTTTTCTGACTGTTTTTCACCAGTTTTGCATTTGGCTAAGGTCATTGTCACACTTTTAGCATTAGGCACTACCTGGACCCTACAGAGGTTGCATAGGCAGTCCAACTCCTCCAGGATGGCACATCAATACGTGCCATTGCCAGAAGGTTTGCTGTGTCTCCCAGCACAATCTCAAGAGCATGGAGGAGATTCCAGGAGACAGGCGGTTACTCCAGGAGAGCTGGACAGGGCCGTAGAAGGTCTGCAACCCATCAGCAGGACCGATATCTGCTCCTTTGTGCAAGGAGGAGCAGGAGGAGCACTGCCAGAGCCCTACAAAATGACCTCCAGCAGGCCACTGGTGTGAATGTCTCTGACCAAACAATCAGAAAGACTTCATGAGGGTGGCCTGAGGGCCCAACGTCCTCTAGTGGGCCCTGTGCTCACTGCCCAGCACCGTGGACTTTGATTGGCATTTGCCACAGAACACCGGAATTGCCAAGTCTGCCACTGGTGCCCTGTGCTTTTCACAGATGAGAGCAGGTTCACCCTGAGCACATGTGACAGACGTGAAAGGGTCTGGAGAAGCCGTGGAGAACGTTATGCTGCCTGTAACATTGTTCAGCATGACCGGTTTGGTGGTGGGTCAGTGATGGTCTGGGGAGGCATATCCATGGAGCTCAGTGATGCCCTGGTTCAGATCTGGGAGGAGATACCCCAGGACACCATCCGTCGTCTCATTAGGAGCATGCCCCAACGTTGTCAGGCATGCATACATGCACGTGCGGGCCATACAAATTACTGAATACCCTTTTGAGTTGCTGCAATGAAATTTCAGCAAAATGGACTAGCCTGCTGCATCATTTTTTCACTGTAATTTTTGGGGTGTCTTGAATTCAGCCCTCTGTAGGTTGATAATTTTCATTACCATCAAATGATGTGGCATCCTTTTTGTTTCTAACACATCACCCAGTCCACATCCGTATAAATAAACAGCATGATTTGTTTCTCCATTGAGATCTGATGTGTTTTCAAAGTGTTCCTTTAATGTTTTTGAGCAGTGTATATATATATTTAAACTCTTCCTTTCCCACCATGGGTGATCTATCCCCTCTTTTCCTCCAAGCTTAGGTCCTCTACTAGAGGCCTTGGAGCTTGAGGGTTCTGTGCATTATCTTTGCTGTTCCTAGAACTGCACTTTTCTGGACCGAGATGTCTGATGTAATTCCAGGGATCTGCTGTGACCCCTCCACCAGGTTGGGGTTAACTGCCCCAAGTGCCCCAATGACCAAGGGTACCTCTGATGCCTTGTTCTTCAGGTTTTCTCCAGCTCTTCTCTAAGCCCCTGGTATTTCTCTAGTTTTGTATGTTCCTTTTTCCTATCTGGAAGTCCCACAGGATCTTGGCTCGGTCATTTTCTACCATCTTTTGAGGTGTTTTCCACTTTGACCTTTGGGTTTCCAGCCCATACTCTGCACAGATATTCCTTTATACTATTCCAGCCACTTGGTTATGGTGTTCCATGTAAGCTTTCCCTGCAATTATCTTACACACTGCAGTAATGTGCTGATTGTCTCAGGGACCTCTTTGCACAATCTACACCTGGGGTCTTGTCTGGTGGGGTAGATCTGGATCTCCATTGCTCTGGTATACACACACACACACACATATATATATATATATTTATACATACATACACACACATATATATTTATACATACATACACACATACACATCTATCTATCTATCTATCTATCTATCTATCTATCTATCTATCTATATACATGCACACATACACATGTTATGTATATTCATGAAGCTTGCAGGTCTTCCTGATGTTCCAAAAAGTAAAAAAGCCCATAGGCACTACTTAATTTCCTGTTATGAGTCTTCTGAAGGAGAAGCCGCATTCAAAGATATATTGTTATTTATCAGCTCTTCCATACTTATCAATTCCTGACATGATGGCTGCAACAAAAATAAATGAGTCGGGATAAGATCGATGCCTCATGATTGCAATGGAAAATGGAACAAGGCATGAAGAAAGAGGAATCTCATCTTCAGAGGAATTGGATTTTCAAAAGATTTAACTGAGCATGCCTGTTATGCATGTCGTCCGCAGCTTCCAAAGCTCAGATTTCACAACAGCCAATAACTCTGCTCAGCAGTGCCAAGCAGCAGTGAAAGATGCACCGGGTCAATACACTTGGGATACTAGCACACACATGCACTGGTTCTCACACATACAAACACAGTTGCCTTGTGGGTTTTCCCATTTCCCCTCGAGTCCTATTAATGTCATTTAACAGCCATGATTGAGGTAGGCTGATCTCAACTTCCTCTCTGACAACCTAGCTCACAAATCCACATCAATTGCTCCAATCACTCCTCACATAGAGCCAATATTCTACAGTGAGACAAGCCTTATTTCCCACCGCATTAATGAACTCTTTCATTTGAAAGCCTGTGACTGTCTGGCCCCTTGATTGCAAACCCAAGGCCAATGGGCCTCTGTGACAGCTCCTTGAAAATTAAAAGCATCAATCAGGACAGGAGTAGAACAAATGTGGGATGTTTTCACATCCTTCTGTCCAGTAGACAGAACAATGCAAGCTGAATGAGTTTGAAAGTCATGTCCTCATTTTATGCAAGTCATCTTTTGGAACAGTTTGCAACGTCAAGGTTAGAAGTCATTTAGCAAATTAGCTCCACTGCATTTATCCATGTTAAAACTCTGCAGACAATTGAGCATTACAATAATGACCAGCATATGTACATATAACGTGGCTACAGATTGTTAAACATTACAATTATTGTGTATCCACTGTCATTAAAAAAAGTTATCATACCCCTACATTAATTTTAGGAGAAACTTTACAAACACACACTTAAATTAACAAATATAGTTACAGGAAAAATTTGTGATATAACTAGACGATTCTCTAAATTTACAGATACAAATATTCTTTAATATTTTTACTGATCAAATCTAACATCCACAAAATGTTGTATAACAACCTTTTCTTACTTTGCAGTAGCAAATCCTACAAAGGATCACTATTTGCACATCTATTGATAGATTTTTTTCTTTAGCCATTCTTTGCAAAAAGCTAAATGTCAAGATATACTGGATAGAGGGCATCCCTGTACTCACTTTCCAAGTATCACCACATAGTACCAATTTATTTTGTGTCTGGACTAAGTGGCTCTCAAACTACAAGTTTATGGTCATTGTGCAGCTAAAAACAATCCAATTTACATCCTAGTTTAGTCTTTTTTTTCCCTCCCAGAGGTTCTCACTCTATTTATCCAGTTAACAGATTGTCCCCCTCAGTTCTGACAAACTTAAATGTTGTGAGTACTAGATAACTTCTGTAGGCAGTTGTGTACATGGGGATCTATGAGGTTGATTAGACGTGAAGCAGTTAAATATACATATTTTCTTTAGATTTTTATTTGGAAGAAATTCTGAAAACCATGTTTTACTTCATTTCTACTTTACAATTGTGCTGTACAATGTGGTGGTCCAACTCATTAAAAAACAAAAGAAAAATCAAATAAAACTTAAGAGGTATTATTACTTTGACAAGGCGCTATAACTACAATGTCTAATTAGAGGTTATAGTGCGCAAAACGTCCACTGTTTGCAGTCCAAACCTTATCAAGGAACACAAGATGATTTGGGTGGATAAACTTGACTTGTAAGAATGTGTGGGGGGGTCTGGGTGGAATGCCATTGCCGGATGACATAATCCCTGTCTAAATCAATTTCTGTATGAGAGCACTCGACTCAGCTCAATATGTAGCTGCAGGGCTGCTGTTAAGTGGCTGCTGCCACAGACCTATTAATTCATATGGTGCTTGGTGCTGCTGTGGCCAAGCTTCACCCCAGGTTTTAAAAACGAATAAAGATGTTATGAAAATAACATGAAGAACTTCAGATTATTTTAATCCAATAATTGTCTATTGAGAAACCAGCCAAACCAGAGGACGGTCAGGGAAATCAAGAACTTTATAGGGAAGTTGGTGCAGGAGATATTAAAACAGCATCTCTGCATGCAGAGGTTCTCTGATAAAATGCAGGCTTACAGCACCCTCTACAACTCGTTTCTAGTGGATGAGAGAAGGTTTTAACTTTGCATCAGTGTCACTTGCTGATTCCCAGATATGCTCAACTGGCAAGCCCTAATCTGATTAGAGCCAGAGGGGGAACTTCAGCATCCATATGGACAATCATAATCCATCATCAGTTAAAGCAGGGGGGAGAGGAAACGGTATGCAATAGAGAGGAAGCGATCACTCTGCAGAAATGATATGAGGCGAACTGAGCTCGGGATCTTCCAGCCGCCTATGAATCCACCACACAGTAGCGCACGATGCTGACGCACAGGATGCACGCATTGGTACCCGATTATAAGGGGAATAAAACGATGCGTAAAATCGCTCTTAGGCAGATCGACTTGCGCTCGAATTTCTTTTTTATTAAGAGACATTTTTTTGTGTGTGATTTCAGCAGCCCAGCTGCGGTGCCTGCTGCGGTTCCCGCACAGATTCCGACCGCAACAGAAACGGCGAGCGAGATCCATGCGTAACTCGGAAGGAGAGGTGTTCTCCTCAAAATGCGCATTTACTGGTAGTGCCGCATATATGCAGACCTTGTTTAACACAAACATCCACTGGTAACTGATGCAGATTCTGCTTAAAAAAAAGAAAAGAAAAAAAGAAGAAGAAGAAATAAGCATCAACGCCAAATTAACTGCAAAAGTGCATCCAGTACAACTTTGGAAACCGAAAGGAGGCAACATTAAACTTACCCACAAGCAGTTTCCAAAATGATAGAATCCACTCTGCAGTTAGTTTCAACAACCTCAGACCATCACTGTGTATCACGATCTCTTCTGTTCCACAAAGTAAACTGGAAGCAGTTGTTTAAAAGGGGGAATATTCCACTTATCCCTAAAAAAAAACGCGGCTGTAATCGAAATTACATATTGCCAGTCTCTGCTGGCGCAAACTAGAGCGCACAACACACTGCAGTCTGTCACTTTCAAACAGCAGCAAAGAGGGGAAAAAAGCAAATCATGATAGGGATATATATATAAAAAATACTGATTGTAAAGAAAAATAAATAATTCAGGGTAAAATGCAGTAATGCGTATTTATCCAGGTGAAGGAAAAGCTCGGACGCTCGCAGCTCCGCGCAGAAGAGCTGAGCGCGACCACAGGAGCGCCAAATTCTGAAGTGAAGGGCAGAAAAAAAGACAAGACACGGTTTCTCTCCCTCTCCACGAGCGAGCAGCTGGATCTGAAAATAAAGCTGTCAGAAATTACCTCCATCTACACAGGATATTATAGGAGAGCTTATCAAAATAAACACTAGTTAGATTACAGGTGTGGTAAAATGAAAAATACATGGAAAATATAACCTTTTTCTTAATTTCAAAGCAAAATATTTATTTATTTAATACCAGATTTCTGATTTTAATAGCTTTAAAGGATCTATTTATCCCAGGAATTATCTTATTTTATAAAAACTCAAACAGGAAGCTTGCTGTTTTTCTTCAGTCTGACATGTTGCTTTTGCGTTTCTCTGAAATCTGCATAGTGAAACTCTCAACCCAACGTTTGAAATAAATGGTACATTCTTATTGTTGATTAAAAACAATTATTATTCCATGGCACAGTTTATCTTTCAAGCAGGTGCGGCACTAAAATAAACAGCTTTTAGGTGCCTCATCCTTTACAGAAATCTGATGGAGGAGTGGGAGCATCAATCAGTCACTTACAGTTCTTGGTTTTAATTACATTTTTACTAAATAAATCACCAGTACGTCTCATAGAATAATAGAAAACTGACATACATAGTTGGCCGTTCATTCTGTGTAAATGAATCAATGTTCATTTTTTTTAGATAAGGCAGCAAATGTACATGTTGGTTGTAATGGATTCTTTCTGAAAACTCCAACAAAAATATGTTGGGGAATTATTCCCATAGAAAGCGCATTAAAGCGGAGAACAGACCGTGGATAATGAGTTTTGGGCAAATGACTTCAAAAACATTAAAATACTAAACATTTAGTACGGTTTATTACAAATTAATGATAATGATCTGCTTTGTGCAGATCAAATACATCAGTATATAAACACTTAAGGTCAGTTTATAGTAAAAAGGTGAAATTTTTAATATTTTTTTAAATGCTTGTTTATTTGATATTACATCCATAAGTGATGATCAAACATTACATGTACAGGAGATTTGACTAAAAATCTTTATATATTTAATTATCTTTATTATTATACTGTAAAAAGTGTACAGTACAATACTTTTTATTTGTTTTATTTCCCTTTCTGTTATTTTTATACAGTTTTCTAAGGTGCACAATGTGTGACCACTTCTGCTATATTCTTTTGCTGCTGCTGTAAGGCAACAATTTCCCCATTGTGGCACAATAAAGGGATTTTCTATTCTATTTCTGTAGAAAATAACATTTAAGATTGATACTAAAATGCTCAAAGAAGTTTTTCATAAGAATGCAGAATAACAATTTTTTGCTTTTATTTATTTTCAAGAGTTTTAGGTTTTCAGCACCCAGTGCCTGGAACAAATTTTTTTCTTACCTTCACATTCAAACCCTTCTGAAAAAAAATTATGTAAAATCTTTGTTATCATGTGTGTCAATGTTTTAAGTGAGTTTCTGCCAATTTTCACTTTCTGATTTTTTTTTTTAATGTTTTCTATGGTTTTTAAGTGTTTTATATGTTTCAAATTATCTACTACTGTCCTCTTGGCCAGGTCTCTCTTTCAAAAAAATACATTTTAGATTTCAACGGGACTAACTTGGTTAAATAAAGGCTTAGAAAAAGACTACTGCGATAATAATTTTGGGAAACTGACAAAAAGGTGCTGACAAAACCTATTTTATTTAGACAAAGTTGTTATGCATGACCTATAAAGTACAGAAATTTAACACCGTTTAAAAAAAAAAAAAAAACTTTCCGTTTCAAAGGCTTCTAAGAAAAATCCAGTAATCATTACATACAAGTAGCATTATTACCATGTTACAGTTACGTATTGCAGAAAGTTAAATAGCTGAGTTGATCCACTGTAGCTTCCATGAATCATGGGTTAAATAAATAAAAATTGTTGCTCTGCTACCTAGCTCTGATGTGTTTTTTTTTTTTTGGTTTCACAAATAAAATGTAAGATAAATGTTAATTGCCTAAAATGAGTAGTAATCACGTAAATCTTCTTTTGACGTTTTCCTGGACAGTAAATATTTGGGAGAAAATGAGGTCCTGTAGGTAAGCGGGCCTTTCTGTTCACCATCCTGACTGTGAAAAGGGACTCGTTTGATTGCCCCCCCTCACTGGCCCGCCCCCTGCAAAGACTTGGCCCTCTGGCACAGTGATTCTGTGAGGCGAATTTTGATCAGGGGAGGGCTTTAAGTGGGGAGAAAGGACACCCTTCTTGGAGTGAAACTGTGCACTTGTGAGCTTTCTTTGTCATATATAGATCCTGATGTGAATAGAGGTTCCTTAATGAGTAAGGAAGTGGACAAACACTTCATTGATTTCCCCCTCCATTCATGGTTTGCTTGCTCAAAATGCCCTCGACTCAATCAAGCAGTTAGTGTGCAGCTTTGAAAAGCATATCAAGCATTGAATTTCTTTTACCAGATTATTTTTTTTTCATTAAGTCTGTTTCAAATGTGTGTGACGCAGTCATTGGAGACGATTCTTGCGTGAATGTTGCCCTGGACATGCCCTTCCCTCTGGATCCCTTAACAAATCCATAAGCCCAGTCAGATAAACACCTTATCTGGACCGTTAAGGGACCGATAGGGACAAACAGCTCAATTAGTGTAAAATTATTTCTCTCACTTCTTTTAATCTAAGATATTCTAAAGAAAGATGTTTCAATAATTAGCTGCTTGTTGTAAATTTGATCGTTGATCCCGTTACTGTCTTCAAAAATTATGCCGTTTTATAACCTTTTGAAAACACAGAACTACTGTTTCCCATTGATGGCATCAGTTTAAAGCTTTCCTGCTCCAATTAAAAATGACATATTTACTTATGTTGTATGAATCTTTTTTAGTGTTATAATTGAGGCTATTCTACAGCTTCAGCACTGGAGATGGAGGCCTTCTTAATAAATCAGGAACAGTCTTCTTCCATTGTCAGTTAAAGACTGATATGATGGCGTATTTGCCTAAAAGCAATGCCATTAATGTACATCTCTAGGGAGAAGTACAATTGGGATGTTTAATTAGCAACGGTGGAGGTTTCGTCTTTAAACATTGCCAAAAAAACTATAAAAATAACTGTTTTTTGTTTTGAAATCAGAGTCCCATCTAACTTTTACTGACATCAACATTGCATGGTTTGATTATGCAAAGAGGTCGCATATGATTTGATAACTTGATGTACTCATCTTTCACGTTTTGGGTACCGTTCCACTGCTGATTAACCCAATTTCATTGCTTTTGCGGGAGAGAAAACCTCTCATCGATAGAAATTATGTTTGCGGCATGATCAATAAGCAAAGCAGTTTTGATCTAAAGAAAAGTAATCTCTGCTATCATTGTTTCTCTGTACAATCCAATCATCTAGTTGCCTATATATCATTACATCTAAATGGAAATGATAGGAAATAATATTTTTTTCATCTCTAACCAAAGTGTTAGACATTAGACGTTTGCATGTTTTTGAAGGAGCACCAAATTATTTCAGTGCAAGCAAAATAAAGTATCAGCAAACAGATTGGCTCGTCTCATGAGTCACTGTTTTTTATTTTAAGTTTACATGAAATATAAAGGTTGGTCCTAAGGGTTTGCTAATTAGCAAAGCAACATTTCCAGGCACCCAAAACATGGGCTTGGACCTGCTTAGACAACATTAATTAAGAAATGAACAACCACATCAACAGTCTTGGCTTTCAGCTGGAAAAAAAGAAAAAGAAATTAGGTTTGGCACTTGAGAGGTACAAGAATTCCTCATTGGAAGAACTCTATTTTTAATGTAGGATGTCTTCAGGAGAATGAAGAAAATGATGTGATGTTGTTGGTATGTTTAGTACAAGACTTGTCGTTAAGACACAGCCGTTAAAAAAAAAGAACTTTCTTGTCAAATATCATTATAATAACATTTATAAAGGTTAAACAATCCAAGAAATACAAAAAAATATCTATATTTCTTTCATTTTTAAGATATCAGACAGTGTAACATTGAACTAAACTGAAGACAAAACCATGTCACTGCTTTTTCCACTCAGCCAAGTCAACCTCGGTTAAACTGGGAGTGAATTTCAGACATCATTTGGGGATGAGCTGTTTGCAGAGAGAACTGCAAATTTAATTGGGGTAATGAGGTCACTGGAGAAAGACTTGAAGCCTCTCCACCAATTAAACTGCCTGGCAAACAGAGAACTAAACAAGGCTGTATGGAGAACATCAGCAGGTTGATGGTATTACAACATACCACATGGATTAGCATGAACCGTTGTGTTTAACAAATATCACATGTCTTCATTTGTTTCTATGGTTGCATAATAATGAAGGACGGAGGTGAACAGTAAGGACTTTGAGCAACACTCGTGAAAAAAAGGGATAGATCCTTTCAAAATGCCCCAAGTAGAAGGATGTAAGGCAATTACTTTATCTCTATGTTCCCTTTACATCTTTTTAAAATGCAACAGCATTCTGTTTGTGATCCTATTCTTAATAATAATAATGGAAAATACAAGATTGAAACAAAATGTCTTGCAGATCTTAACATCCACTGGTAGAGAGGGACGTTTACCAGCAAAATGTGATTTTCTGTTCTTAGGTGATGGCAAAAGAGTCTAGAAAGCTAACACTCAAATGTAGGATTGACTGTAGCTGCTAGAGCTGAAACAATAATCAGATTAATCGTGATTAATGATAATTGAAATAAGCGTCAACTAATTTAGTAATCGATTAACCTTTAACTGAATATGGAGACTCTAAAACCTGCTTTTAGCTGACAGAGCAACCTACTTAGAGCACTAATGATATAACTGTAAAAAAAACAAAAACATTTTGCATTCAAGATTAAAAAAAAAGAATCTGTCAAAATGCTCTAGCCAGAACTCCACAAATTGAAAAGTTTGAGTTTCACCTGTTTAATTTCTTAAAAAGTCTTCTATTGCTATCTGATAATTAATCAAAAAAGCAAAAAAAAAAAAACATAAATAGATAAATC